CTACCACCGGGTCAAAGGCCTAGGAACAGGTAGGGACTAGGCCCCTATCCTATAGGACTAGCCTGGCATGATTGACATGTAAAAATAATAATAATCGTTTTTCTGTCCTAGCCTAAAATACTAGAATAAGCCCAATCCATAGATAAACAAGAAATAAAACTTACCTTTTTTCCAATCTCCTGCATTTCGTAACCGTGAAGTCCAAGTACAAATTGATCTCTAACCGTATCATGATCTGATTTGCTTGACAGGAAGAAGGCAGCGAACCTGCCTGAGAGACGGGCAGGCGTGCGCTAGGCTTAGGCGCACGGGGGTAGCTAAGCCTAGCTCTGGTGGTGATACGATTGTAGTACGATTATTGATAAAACTACTAAACCCAGGACATTTTGTATTTGAAAAGATAGTTTAAGCGAGTACAAAATTATAGAGGGGGCTGTTCATTTAGAATAGTAAGACAAATGGTATAGAATATAGGAAAACCTAGCTAAATAAGGACATTTGAGGTGTAGGCCTAGGAGAGGGTAGGGTAGACTCAGTAAAGGGGATTGTAGGCCTAGACTAAGTGAGGACACGAGATTTGTCCTCACTTATTTTTTTTGTCCTGAGATTAATAAGAAAATATAGGCGATTGTCCTCACATTGGATAGGTTTACTACTACTACTACTACTACCTACTACTACTACTACTACTACTAACTACTACTAACTACTACTACCAAAATACGCGCTGTTGTCGTTAAGGACTTTTTGTGTGGTAAAGGCAGGCTCAGGTCGACACGGAACTCAACTCAACTCAACTCAACTCAACTTGTCGACATGAGCGCTCTGCGCAACTGAAAGGAACTGAACGCCTGACCGGAACTGACCGCAACTGAAAGGAACTGATAGTCGCGCATATTTGTCGACATGAGTCAAGTTGAGTTGAGTTGAGTTGAGTTCCTTTCAGTTGCCCATGTTCAACTTTTTGCGGAACTGAAAGGAACTGAAAAAAGCGCGAAAAAAAATGCTGATTCGATTCGGAACTCAAAGGAACTGAAAACGTTGATCCTGATATTAATCGTAATCAAGATGCATTAAATGAAAAAAGATATTATATTACAATGTTTTGTTAATGGCAGATTACTTTATTCTTTGTTTTAAAAAATATACGCCATAGGCCAGCTTTTTATTCTAACACATAATAATAATAATAATAATAATAATAATAATAATAATAATACAGCATATACTTACCATATTCTAGCTAGCCTAGGCTATGCCTAAAGTGTAGAAAAAAGGCAGGCTTCCTATGCCATGCCTACTAGCCTACGTCTAACTCTACGTACGACGAGTAAAGACTTGACAACTAACTGGCATGCAGATCTCACTTCCAAAATCCATTTTTACGACATTCGCGTAATATTAAATTAATACATTTTTATAACATATTTGACAGCTGATTCATGTAAACATTGTCACGTATAAAATGCATTCGTGTATATTTGTTGTTTTTGTTTTTGTTTTTTCATATAGAAAAAGACCTTTCTTGTTGTAATTGTTCCACCGGATTTTGCATGAACCCATTTCAAATAGACCAATATGCGATACACTTTTCTAAATTAAAAAAAAAAGTGTAGATAAACTTCAAAAATAATTTTATTATTTTTAACCACACGTCTAATCTTACAAGCATTCAAACATTTATTTGCAGTTGATGAGATTTCAAAGAAAATGAAATCTTTAAAAACTCAATTCTGTCGACTACAAACAGGCACCACTTGTTTCAGTTGCCGGTCGACATTTTCAAAACAACAAAATAAAGTAGATACACTTTTTAAAATAATTACATGTCTTAATAAAAACATTACAGACATTTTGCAATTGATGGGATTTCGCGGGGAAAATGTTTTTAGCCAATAGTTCCTTTCAGTTGCCAGTCGACATGAGCCAAGTTCCTTTCAGTTCCGTTCAGTTCTCAAAGTCGACATGAGTTCAGTTCCTTTCAGTTGCGTTCAGTTCCTTTCAGTTGCGCGGAGCGCTCATGTCGACGAGTTGAGTTGAGTTAAGTTCCTTTCAGTTCCGTGTCGACCTGAGCCTGCCTTAAAGAATACAAAATTGCTTGACAACCAATACGCGCTCGTTTTGACGCGCTACTGTGATTTCACGAACTAACACAATCTACTTTGATGTGTTAGTTCGTGATGTGAGCGACGAAATATAGTAAAATTGATACTGCTAAAATAAATGGAATATCCAAAACGAAATAAAAACTTAATTTATCTTTGAAATGATGAGTTAGATGAATGAATTGAATTGTGGACAAATGATTTTCTACATCGAGTTGTTTTACATTCTAAAGGACGAAGTCTACCTGATTTATTAAGTACATATTTATCATTTAATAAGTGAGATATATCTTCCATTATTTTCTTAATTTGGCTAAACACATCACGTCTGTTTACCTCATTAATGTCTCTTACATTTCTACCTATTACTTTACTTGCTATTGTCATTATTCGTTCAAGTTTATTTTTATTACTTACCGGTAAACTCTATTGTACCACCACACAATTAAATGACAGAACACTTAGAATAGTACTTTGGTAGAACAAATAAAGTACATCCTTAGTAACGTTGAAAGAGTTCAGTTTCCCGAGAAGGTACAGTCGTTGGTTAGAATTTTTAACAATATTTCCAGTATTAGTATTCCAGTTTAATTTACAGTCTACGATTGTTCCGAGATATTTATGATCTTTTACAGTTTCTATTTCTTTTTCATTTAATACAATATTTTCTGTAATACTTTTTTTTCTTCCTAAAATCAAAGATCATTCCTTTGGTCTTATCCGCATTAAAGATAAGGAAATGTTCTTTACACCACGATTCAAACATTTTAAGTGTATCTCTATATTCATTTTCGTTGTTATTAGACCTGTAATAACGGTATCGGCATATTTAATTAGACTAACATTATTTGCTATAATTTTAAAATCATTTGTGTACAGAGAGAAGAGAACAGGGGAGAAGACGCAGCCTAGAGGATTGCCAAAGTTACTGAAAAGAGTATTAGAAGAATGTTTACATATCCTAACCACCTGTGGCCTGTTGGATAAAAAATCACCACAAAATTATGTGTGAATTTATATTCATGCCACGAAGTTTCTGAAGCAGAATGTGTGGTTGGATAGTTCTGAAAGCAGAAGAAAAGTAAAAGAACATAGAGCGAACATAGGAGTGTGTTTTTCAAGATTAGATTGAATATTGTGAAGAAGAGTTAAGACTGCATCACTAACCACTTTATTACTTCTATACGCAAACTGACACGCATCAAGTAGTGCGTTACATTCATTTAACAAAATATGTTTAACAATAATGATCGATAATGATCATAATGATCGATGTCAAAGCATAGACCTATAGATTTTGGTACTACTTGGTTTAAGTTTCTTTGGAAGAGGTGTTATGGAAGACGTCTTCCATAGCACAGGAATAGTATGTGAACAAAGTGACCAGTTAAATAATTTATGAAAGACAATTACTTAATTCACTTGAGCACATTTTGATAAGCTTCGCAGATATTCCATCTGGTCCTGTAGCTTTACCAGGTTTCACACTCTTAAGACAATTTCTGACTGTATTAACATCTAATTCTAAATTGAAGGTGTCTAATTTGTGTTTAATATCTTGTATAATATTATCCTTGTCATCAATAAAACAATTTGAATTAAAACGAGTAAAACATGTGTTCATATCATTTAAATTCAGGTTCAAGTCTAACTTAGTTGCTTTCTTTCCGATTCCTGTTATTGATTTTAAGCCTTTCCATGTTGATTTAGCATTTTTTTTTGTTTAAAACTCTCTTCTGTTTTCTGGCCATATTTTGCTTTCAATTCCTTTGTTTTCTTCATTATAGACAATTTAATTTCAGTAAAACAAATAAAAAAGTAAAAAAATAACAACATAACAATATGAGATTTTATATAATTTTTATTACTTAAAGTCTTTTTAAAATTGTTGAAATATCAAACACTGTTTCACCTATACTTTTATTTTTATACATGATTATTTAAAAAAAAAAAAAAACTATGTACAAATAAATGAAAATGATATTGAAAAAGAAGAATGAATAAAAGTGGGTTGCCCCCACGAAAGAGAGAGAAAAAAAATTAATTTCATTAAGACGCTTAGAGTCATTATTTTTAAAGGCTTCCTGTTTACTAATTATGAGATCACGCAGTTCCTTTGTTATTCACAGTTTGTTATTTGCATACACTTTTAATT